GCTTTATCTAACCTTACCTATTATTATATTATGCCATTGTCAGCATTGTGGTATGAACTGAAGTTTATTGGCCACATAGTTTGGTCATCATAAACTGAAGCACCCCCTAAAAAAATGCTGGCTACGGCTTTGCGTTAGGAAATTAAGACTTTGTTTTATTAAAACTTCAAAAAGATCGTATGCCGTCCGGCCGGAAGATGACTCGTTAAATAACGACCGAAGTGATAATTTGTCGTGATACTTTTATTATGTTATGTCGACGAGCCGACTTCACGTGTTTTCCTAACATTCGGAGACTTTTTAGGTAATAACAATCGCAGCACCGTCAATGTTGTGATATTGCAACACGTGACACGGTAAATTCGCCAACATGTGCGAGCTTATTGTTATACGACTTCCTTTTTATTTAGCCTCACGATTCTCCGAAAGTCTCTGGCCACTACCGGCACTGTTTTCTCCTTTCTTGAATGGTTTCCCTCCAGAAGTGGCGTATTGAAGGGGCCGTCTAGGCGTCACAGTTGAAATTTAGTGGGCAGTCAGGCATCAATTGGTAAAAAGAACACCAACAAAGATGTTTGGTATCAATATCAGTTCTGTTTCTGTTCTGTTTCAGGCCCGTGAACGACGTCGTTGCTGTCGGTGTTCGTCTCTTATCTTTTCTTTTATTATCTGTGGCCGTCGATCGGCCCTAATTCAATAACTTATTTAACATTCTATATTTAGTCGTATTTATAGCCATAATACCCGTCTTTCAACTTTATCCATGTTCGCCGGACTGCTGGCCTTGAGGTCCCGCTGTGGATTAGCCATTGTATACATCGTGTGCCAAATTTTTAAGCGTATTATTAATGTTATTTATCAATCGCCCTTATTTCCACGACTCGATTCAGTCGTTTTCCTGTATTCCACCCACAGATCTTTATGGTTTGGGAAAAATCTCGTCTCGAACATGAAAAACTACGTGTATGTCACCGAGACCTAGATGAACGTCGTAAGAACGGTGAGATCGATCTGAACATTGTTTATCGTGAAGGCGTCTCTTGTGCCTTGAAAACTCGTCCAAAAAACTTCAACGCCGATCGCCGCTGCCTTCAATCATGAAAAATGTACCATCGTATAACTTCTCTGGCTATCAAAACTGACGAGGTTCGAGAACCAAACTTATAAATCTTAATTGTAATACCTCTTATTTTAACTACCCATTCATTTTTTTTACCGAAACATGGCTTAATATAACAAATTTTTTACAAATTAATTAGTTGGGTCAATAACTCCTATCCAAAAATCTGGGGACACACATAATACCATCAACTACCGTCCTATCATCATCTTACCACATATTTCAACAATTTTTGAAAAGATCGTTTTAAAAAATATTTGTCCTTCCTTAAACCACATTCTTGTGGGTGAGTAACACGGATTCCGTCCTGGTTGTTCATCCACTAGGTATAATTCAGTCCTTTTCTCTTATATATTCGACTTCTTCAGTGAGCATTGCCATGTGAATGCGGTTTATACTGATTTTTCTAAAGCATTTGATCGGGTAGATCACTCTCTTCTGGTCAAAACTTTAGATCTCATTTGTCTTGATGATCTCTCACTCACTTGGCTTCACTCTTTCTTAGTTGATTACTCTCTCCACATATCGGTTCTTAACTCCCACTCTTCCTTATTCACACCTTAGTTAAGCGTTCCGCAGAATGCTGTCTTCACTTCTTTTCGCCTTATTTGTGAATTCTGCTTCTTCAGTTCTTTCCTATGCAAATCTTCTTATTTTTGCTGACGGTATGAAAATCTTCCTTAAAATAAATTCCATCTACGATTACCACAAGCTCCAATATGATCTTAATAGATTGGTTATCTAGAGTGAATATTTTGGTCTCCCTCTTAATATTCCTAAATGTTCCTCCATAACCTTAACTCGCCTCCGATCACCAATTCATTTCTCACACTACATTCACAATATTCCTGTTATGTCCTTAGGTGACTCGATTCGTAACTTAGGATTCACACTTACCCGTAACCTCTCCCCTCACAAACACATAGAAGACATATTTTGAAAAGCGTCCAAAGTTATCGGGTTCATCCTTTGTTCCTCTCAACAATACCATCTTATCCTGCCCCTAAAAACCCTCTATTATACTCTAGTACAGCCTATCGTTGAGTCCGGTAGTGTATTGTGGGACCCAGCTCCCGCATCGTTCAGCGCTATGATCGACTGTGTTCAGCGCTGGTTTATCCGTGCTTGTTACCAACTCCAAATTCTTTGTCATCCCCATGATTACTTTACTGTCTTGTATGTCTGGACCTTCTAATCCTTTCGGATCGTAAGAAGATGAATAATATCTCTTCCCCATCTAATCTCCTTAGTGAAAAGATTGATTCTCCTACTCTCCTCTATAAATTTCTTCGATATTCTCCCATTAAGTGTTTATTATTGATCAAAAATAACGACTCCTCCTTTGTTTGATCATGAATTATAAATAAATAATTAACTAACCTAACCATCATTACTAACGGTAATTTTGTCAATTTTACTTTTGATTTTTTTTTCATAGTTCATATCTTTTCTTAATTAATTTTTAATGTTCTTCTCGATAATCATAAAGGCGAAACCGACACTTTTGTTTAGATTAATCTATATTGAAATCTGTAACTGCGACAGTGCGACATTAAATATCAACATTACCGATATTATCAATATAGTAAAATCTTAATAAAATACGTAGATATATTATATCTTAATTTTAGTATCTGTATTTAAAAAAAAAATAAAACCAAATAATTACAAGTTTGAATAAACGGTAGAGATGGCCTAAATATAGAGTATCATAGTATTTTGTGTGGCGGCATTTTAATAGCGTTCTACTACTTACCCCTTACCTAAACTTTAAAGTGGAATATTTCGCGAACCGGTCAATGGAAATCCAAAATTTATTTAAACTTATACTTTATCTGTACATGCATATGAAACTTTTAGTGTGGGTTACCATTTTAAAATCAAAAATTCGAAGTCTTACGTCCCCAAAAATAAGGGTGACAAAAAATAATGGTGATGTAGTATTCATAGAGTTTTTTAAATGGTCAAAATATTTTTATTTTTTTGAAAAAATATGTTTTGTTGTCTATATACGGTAAACTGTTCATGAAATGAAAACAGTATTTATTATGTTACGATAGCGATAGCGTTTGTCAACAACACCAACTGGCAACTCCAGGGGAAAAATATCTGTATATACATATTATCTTGTGATAATAATTCTTTTTCATTCGAGTAATCTGGGTCATTTTATGAGTTATTATATGTTAGTGGCTCCAGTCCATGGTGGCGCGATCACTCATCACTGGGTAGCATTGAATTATCACTGGGGAGCACTAGTGCCACGTACTTAGTACGATAAAATATGCTCTGGACTGAGGCAGTTGTTTACTCGATACCATAGGCATAGAAAAATAGAGATCCGCTTAGGTAGGTATTGGTACTTGATTGTTTTCCATTAATTGAATCGAGGACATTTTGTCCAGGCGGATAACAGTAAAAAAGAAAATAAAGGGGAGTATTTTATGATGGCGTGGGGAGGGCGTTAAAATATAAGTTGTGCATATGGTTGTAGATAGATACGATGCAGACTGATACGGTTATATCTACAAGACTATTGCAATATTGTGACGGCGCATCGTTGTTCATATTATGCCCTCCGGTCATCCATACTATAGCGTAGGTCCTATCCCGTGGGTCCGTCACTTCGTCGATCTTTCTCTTGGACTTCTCGCGGCTAGTGGCTTTCACGGCCGTCGAAATTCATATTGTCGCATCGCGTGTTCAAAACACTATCGTTGTCGTTATCGCTGTGCCTTTCAGGTGCGAAGACGTCCTATACATAATCGGTAACTGTTAAAATGTTCGTAACTTCACGGGTTTCAGCGTTCGTTTTTCAACGCCAACACTCTGTATCGCTCCTCTCCACCCCACAGAGTTTTCTCGATATTTTATTTTCAAAGGACTTCTTCCCCGTTTGTGTCGCCGCGGTCCACACTTCGCACCCGTACGTTAACGTTGCAGGTCTATTAGTTACAGCCGCATACCTATGCCCGTAACGGACATTATTTCCTTTTAGCAATTTCATCTCCGGGCCCGGTTTACGTTGTAACAGCCGTAACAATTGATTATTTGATTATACACGTGTCCGGCGCGACATGCGTATCGATATCGGCACGTCGCGCGCGCAACGGGCAGTCACGTGCACTCGAATAATAATTTTTTTTTCAACGGGCGTATAGGACGGGGGGTGGGATCAGGCGGATAAACCCGAATTCTACTGTATAAACAGAGTACGCGGCGATAAATTAATTCTCAAAGTCCCTCGAAAGGCCGCGGGGGAAAAAAAAAAACCCATCAACCGTGTATATACAGACGACGGCGCGGCGGGCGTCCGGACGACTGGCGCGCGCGTATTTTATAATAATCGTCGTACAAACGCGAAACACGCGAGTGGAAACGGGGGTTTTTTTTCGCGTCCCGTCACCCCATCCCCCGGACGTCCGCCGCGCGACTTTTTCGGCCGTACAGCGCGCGCGACGCTCCTCCGGCCCGCGCGTAATTCTCGCCGCCCGAACACGCGAGCCGTTCCGTCGGCCGTCCCGGCCGTCCGTGCGCGCGTCCTGCACGACGGCGCGACCGCGGCCGCATTTATTACAAACGGCACCGCGCCGCTCAACGTCTCTGCACGCAATCGATTGCGCGTCGCGTTACGTCGCGCGCGCACACGCACGCACGCACGCACGCACGCACGTGTGCGGGTTGGGCCGCCGGGGAAAGAGGGCAGTTACCGCAGCGCCCGAGCTGCGTTTCGCGCGCGGCGCGCTCGCGTATTTACCGTACACACAATATATATATATATATATATATATATATAATACACCTACAGGGTACGCGTTATGTACGCGCGGCGACGACGGGGCGCGTTCTCTCGGTCGGCCGCGCGTACGTGTACGGCGCGCGGCGCATAACGTCGGCGGCGGCAGCGGCAGCGGCGGAAAATGTATTATTTTATTATCGTCGCGCGTCGCCGTCGCGATGGCCACAGTCACAGCCCGTGCGTCGCGTCAAAAAGTGTAACCTCGCGCGTTTATGCGGTACGCCTAATATTGTAACGATAATTTATAACACAACACCGTGCCGTGTTAAGCCGTAGTTGCCTACGCGATTCTTGTCGTCCTCGTTGTTGCTGTTCCGACCGTACACTCGTGCGCGCGTATCGCCGGGGTACCGTTGACCGTCACGGACGACCGTTTGCGACATGAAAAAGGCGGCGAGCAGAGCGCGCGACGAAAAACTGTTGGCCGCGGTCCGCCATCGACCGGTGCTCTACGATCAGTCGACGCACGTGTTCAAGGATTTCGGCGTCAAGAACGCCGCGTGGAAAGAGGTGGCGTCCGCCGTAGTCGGATCTCAAGACAAACAGGCCGGTCAGAGTTACTAATTATAATTACATAGTTTATAACTGTACTGGGCAATACATATTAAGCGGAAGATAAGCTAATATTGTACCGAATTCAACGTTACTATTTTTGATTTAACGATATTGAGCGGGTTTTACTGCAGGACTTGTTGTATTCGTTGTTTTCGTACGCCGTCGTGTATTACCGCGGGTTATGTATGTATATATATAGTAGTGGGAATCCCCGACGCCACCCGAGATCGTACACCCGCCGCCCGTCGCTTGTAATCGCCATTCGCTATCGGATGTATCGGTCGCGTGTAACCTTTCCGCATATTATTATGAACATAAAACCCTTCGCTGGTTATATCGCACCGATATACAACGATATCGACACGATCAAGTATATCAAAAATGATTCGCAATTGTCTAAAAAAGAGAAACATTTTATGGGAATATCTCGCTCCAACGAATTTAACGTTCCGAGTGCAAACATAAAAGACAACGGCGGGTTTAGACAAAGTGGATGGGAATTCGTAATAACCGGCTGCGGTTTATGTGCATTCGTATGCGATCGACGGAATCGTACACAAATTCATTGATGATTCTGTCGATGAGATTACATTACCTACTTGACATCACGTTTACGTACCGGGTAAACGTAACAAACGAATGGGTTTTTTTATCTTGTGCGGAATGGTTGCATAAAATGCTTTCGGGCGAACTATTAACCGCGGTCGCTTTTTCCCGCCAAATTCGACTGCGCTGTCGCCGCGCTTTCTTTCCACCGTTTATCGTTTCCTTCGCGCGTACCCGACCGTCTTCACTGGGGACCGGTTACGGACGAACCTTTTGAATACAATTCGAACGTTAACGTTCCAAAGTAGTCTGTAGCGCATTTCGAGTAGGCCGGGCAAAGAACCGTAGATTGGTAATTTTCAATACAGTTTTAAAATCTCGAATCAGTTCTGTTAATAAGCTAAAACATTATATTTTAATACTTGTATCGTATTATACATAATCCGAGTTTTTACTTTATTTGCACGTATACTATTTGGGAATGGAAAGGAGATACAGTTTATTTTTGAACCCTACAGCATAACACATTTGTATAAACTAAATAAGCGTGTGCGTGGGAAAAAAACGTTTTTCAAGTCTTATTGTCTCCATGATGGATTTCCTGAAAGTGGTCGGGTGAGATAGTTCTCGGTAGCTCTCCTAAATTCCGTCTCGGAAGTTTTTCGCCCTTTAAGAATCGAAATGTGTTAGGGTTAGGTTTAATCCTTCAGAAACCAGGCGCTGGTATTCCGGCCACTTTTAGGTACTTAACTGCCTACGTAACAACGAGGCGCGCAAACTGTACAGTGTGCACGGTGTATATGCCACACTCTGTGTAAAGGTCGTGACGTTCGGGGGGGGTTACGTATAGGATACTGGGTGAAATCCACAGTTGACACGCGCGATCTCCATTTCGATCTTTTATCCCGTGCTCTCGATGCCGTACTTTTTGGCCGCCGTTCGTATTATCCTATCAAAATTGGGTTTTTATTCTGCGGTAAAAATCACCGACTCGATAAGCAGATTGCGTTTTTCCATTGATCGTCACTGCATCTGCAACGTGGATTTTGTTATAAATAGTACTTAAGAAATCGGTTATTATCACGATTATATATAACAACGTTTTTTACGGTTATAATTCATGATACCAGTGGCGTAATTCAAATATTCGGTAGACTCAATGGCGGATCTGTGGGGGAGGGAGGTAATCAAAATTAAAATTAACTCTTTCCCAAATACCGACTAGATCCAAATGTTATAAAAAGCTCCCTTGTCAATTTTTGATTATGGAACAAGATTTCTGGTAGAAATAATGTTGTTTATAGCTTGAGACAAAAATAAAAAGCACACATCATTGTAAAACCAATACATTCTTCACTGCGTTCGAAATATACAAATTTGACTCTGAATTATGTATCTGTATTCTTTGAGGGCATACGAATAAAAGTTACACAAAACATTTTTCGATACTTTGACATTATTTTCACAGCAGATTTCAACTTTTCATTTTCGACTCAAGACAAGGCTTAATGTTAGACCGGGGCGTATGCCAAAGTTTCACACAAGAATGTTCGTGCAGTGGCAGACCCTGACTTTAATTTCATACGAGGGGAGGCGAAACCATTTACAACAATGAAAATTGGTATTTTATCACAATGTAAGGACAAAACATGCTACATGTATATTAGGTACGGTGTTTAGGGAAAGGAGCATGACCCTATTGCCCCTGAAAAACTACATTATATTATAAATCAATTGTACTAATAAATTTAAAATTGTATAGAATATAATATAGCTTAGCTATGTATTGATTTAGTGGACGGGTGGCACATCAGTAGCCGTTAAACTTGCTACTCAATTTAATTTCGAGGGTTCACCATTGTTCTTTTCTCCCGCCACAGTTTGAGAGTAGGTAATTATTCAAAAATCTGAGGAACGAATTATCCACGTCCATTGAATCAATATTAAAATTGGCGCTAATTCAGTTTCTTACAGGGAGGGGTGCAAACATTGTATGAGACCAATTTCCCCCCCCCCATCTCCGGCAGTTACCAGTCTATTGTTGTTGAAATGTTATGTGGTTGCATAAAATGTCGATATAAATTTCAAAAATTGATCATTTAAGCTTGAATGCCACGATCAATATATTGTATCGATTGTAATAGTGATTAACGCCTAGGTCAATAATTATGGTTAAAAATGTCAACGGTTGCGAATGCCAACCCTGCTCTCCCTAGATTAATATGTAGTGTAAAGAAGCGTTCATGAGTAGTTTTTCGAGTTTTTAGCTATTATGCGGTATTCAATCGCGGAATAGATAGATAATTCGGTAACGTTTATCGGTTTTTATTCCTACGTCAGGTCAGTTGATTTCTTTGGGATCTCGGGAAGGAGGGAAAATGCGGGATATTACGTGTAAAACTACCTGTATTATTATAACATGATACTGTGGGATTACAGTGGAAAGGTTGAAAGTCCGGTGGAAAACCCTGAGGGACGGTTTCGTCAGACACCTGAAGAAAAAAAAGACGCTGGAGATGTACACGGCGGCGGCGGCCATGCGGCCATACAAACTGGAAAAGCAGATAGCATTTCTGTTGCCGCACGTATCGTTTCGAGACGAGGACGACTGTAACGGCGGCGGCGGCGGCGACGGCGACAGTAACGACGACGAGGAAACGTCTTCGCCAGCCACCGCCGACCAGACGACCGTAGTCAACGACTGCGACTCGGTGTACGACCAACAGCAGCAGGCGGCCGACATGCTGTACGAACAGTCGAACGCGGACAGGGCGTGTCACGAACACGACGCCCTGGACCGGTCGATACATTTCCTGTGCAAGACGGCCATGACCAACAATTACAAGTAAGCAGAAAATATAATAATAATAATAATCAGTGGCGAATCCGGATTTTAATTTTGGGGGGGACGGAGGGCAGAGCCAATAATTGTTGTACAATGAAATTTGGTACATATTTTACCACAATACGAGAATAAAGAAAAAAAAACTATGATACTTCGGGGGGGGGGGAGAAATTACCCTTTTAGATCCGCCACTAATGATAATACTAATTGATAATTGATAATTATACTCACACTTTAAAAAAACGAAACGTCGATTTCACATTTGATATTTTTTCTGAATTTTTAATATTTCCACTGTGTGGGCCGATCTTGCGTGCAAGCTATTACTTGAAAAATGGCCGTCAGTTATCTAACTTCTAATTTACCTTTAGTTCCATTTGTCGGTCTTTGAGTTGCACTTTTTACTTGTATCTTATATACAATTAGTGGGAAAAATTGAAAATTTTACACTTAGAGAACAGGTGTCGTAGGTTGTCGTTTTCCGATAGGGTGGCCGGTAGCTTGTGAACGTCTGTTAAATCCTACGTGGCCACTGGCCAACGACTGTCGTGCAACTAATACATCCACCTGTTTTTAACTTGAAAACGAGTTTATTTTTCAATATTCCTTGTACTCTTTGTAGAAATGGGAAAATATTTGCAATTTCGTACCAAATTAAAATGTTGCGGTTGGCCAATTACTTAGATCGGGCGGCCAGCGGCCACCCGATCGTCGTGTTTGGCTATTATTTGATAAACTGCAGCCGACGGGCGCAGTGGCGTAACTAGAATTTCTAATGCCCGTGGAAAAATATTGTAGATTAACCAAATTATGGGACAGTGCAGGGGAATGTAAGAAAAAAAAAAAGCAAATTTATTTATTTATTCTATAACAATATCGATAGCATTTTATACTTTTATTATTAATTATATTGTTTACTGATGCCGTATAGAACAATTTTTCAGTATTGATTAATAATGATTGTATAATGTGTATTTTTTTTTTATTTTTACTAAAAACTTCATTTAACGTTTTTTCAACTTTAGAAACTTTTCCTGTGGGAAAATTAATGGTTGGTTGTCGAAAAGCGTCAGAGAAAACGAAAAATAAAATAAAATTTAAAGGTTAAGGTTTTTTTGTATAAGAATCATCGTGTACATAGTATACACATTACATATATTATTATATAGGTGTAAGGCATAAATCAGGTTATTTCAAGATAATATGTAGCTTATCCACAAAATACCATCCTATTTTTGTTCAATTTATGATATTTGTTGGCATTCTACTGAGGGATATTCCTTTAAAACATTCCTTGGGTTAAGATAGAATTGTATTGTAAACGATTTTTAATCTCACTCTTCTATCCCCAGAGTTAGGATTTAACCTTGAAATTAAAAAAAATAATAATAATAATTCAATACTTTAATTTATTTTTTTACTTTCGACCAGGGGTACATCATTTGAAAAAAAAAAAAGGGTGACTCCCAACTGCATATCTAAAGCATTTAAGAAAAAATTGATGACAAATGTTTAAAAATCGATTTTATGTACGTTTGTTGATACATGGGTTACCTTGTTGCAAGAGAAAAAACCATAACCGATTATAATCTAATTCGCTTAAAACAGTTTTTTAATTGCAATGATTTATCGTTGCTCTCAAAATATGAACAAATTAAATGTCCTATACATTTCAAACTTTCCTTCTACTACAGTACCCTACCTGGTACAAATTACATCTCGCTATTTTAAAACTACTTTTCCTAACAATGGGCAAAAAAAAGTCAATTAAACACTTCAGAGATGGTTTCCGGTATCAAATTTTGTCTAGTTGATGTATTGGGTAGGTAATTTTTTGATTTTCCTTGTGTTTTCTTTTAATCATCAGGGAAAATCGGAATAAAACATTAGAAAATGTAAATCTTCTCCTTTCCTTTCATTCCAACTATCTGGGGTCAGCCAACCCTTGTTCTAAACTTCCACTAGAGAGACTTGACTATTTTTTTTATTGCATTTCAATAATTGTAGAAAATTGAAATTTTCACCGAATGCATATACTTATATTAGCACTCTAGACGAGTTTCAAATTTGTGGAAATATTCTGTTGTTTCAATGTTATGTTCATAGATATTTAAAAATTCTTCAGGTTATTAAGTTTTAAAATAATTGGTCATCAATTTGATAAATTGTCTTCATAGTTTCCTATAAATATAAATATATTCAGTTTTTTGAACTTTGACCACACCAATAGATTCACTCCAGTCGCGGTCTAATAGTGTCAAAGATTTCATCTTTTAGTAATGTGGTAAAATTTTATTGTTTCTCCATTGAAACTGACAATTTCACTTGTGTACTTATACATTTACTTTACACTTTTTTTTTTAACCTACACAGAATGGAAGACATGGACTCGGTGGATGCGTTTTTCCACGCCATGGCCCAAACGGTCAAACAGCTGAAACCCATCACGGTAGCCAAGATTAAAAGGGCTGTGTCTATAATCGTGTCCAACGCAGAAATTGAAGAGATGGAGAGCTCGTGCAGCAGGTTTCCAACGACTGTACCTGTTGTAGTAAATGAATCTCCAAAAATGGAATATGTACCAACCTAGTGTAATCGATATTTTTATGTATAGTGTATACCATTGAAAAAAATTAAATAAAACTGTAAATTACATTATTATAATATATTTTATAATATTATGTAGAGCTAGTAGGTATTTACTGAAACATTTTTTTTGTTTTGCATCATGATATGATTGTTGTGATTTTACTCAATAGATATTTTAATAAAAATGAGAACATCTTAAATAAAAGTAAAATACAGTACATAGGTATGGTCTTATCTGTGTGCAAGAAAAATATCAATAGGGCGAAATGAAAATGAAATTATTAAAAATAAAAATGTTAGAAAAAAGGAGAAAGAGTAGATAAAAGATAAAGAGGATGCAATGTTCTATAATTGATTTTTATGGTAATACCAATAAAGGCACTATAAAATAATATGTAATAATAATATATTTTCAGACTTAGCACAAAACATCTAACAGTACAATATTGAAATATAAATATTACAACAATTCTATAAAAATGCATGTATCAACTGTATTAATAATAATTAATAATAGTAATAAAAAAAATAGATATTTAAAACTCCCTATACTTAACACAACAGTTGTGTCTGCTTCTCATTTTCGATCATTTGACTATAAATATGTAATATTTTACATTACAAATGTTTAATTGACAATATAAATAATAGGAAAGTCATACAAATAAATATACAAACAGTGTATTAATTGTAAAATACAATAATTTGTTTACCTTTTGATTTTTATATATGGATTGGTCGTCAAGTTTCCAACAAAAAACAGAACAATCATTTAAATTTTTTAGTAAAATTTAATAGAAAAATGAATAAATATTTTAACTAGATTAACAATTATCTATTTTTAAATAATTTAAAAAACTTGAACGTTTTTACAACCATTTGTAATGAAATTAAAATTTATAATAAAATTGTATATATGATAATATTAATTATTATGATACAAACGAGAACAATAAACTCTAAGGAAGAAGTTGTACATAATTAGCTGGAAATAAACCAAAGGTGCCATCGGGGCTCAACCCCTGCCACCAGCCTTGATCGATTTTATCAATATGACAAATTATATCGCCAGGATCGAATGATATTTCAGTATCGTCAGCTAGATAAGTAGACAGTTTTAAAAAAAAAAACTAAGTAACTTAAATTCTACTTTTAAAGATCAATAGTACTACCTGCTTGGTAGTCGTACAAGGCTTCAGCTCTGATTCCATAAGTGCCTAAATCATTATTTTGTTCATTTGAATTTTCAGGTTCTTCAGTGACGACCAATCCTGGTTTTGCTATTTCGATTTTAGCTTCCTCTGGTTCTGGTTTATGAACAGCTGATTCTGATAAGACTTTTGGAAGCTCCTCTTTAATTATTGAATCTCTTCTGATTCTATCAGCATCCTATAAAATATATATAGAAGGCAAACAAAAACACATAACTGAATTTGTACTAATATTAAACCATAAGTATTATAGACTAAAATAGATTTTATCATGATCGGAAAAAGTGTGTTCACTTTGTGAGTTTTCTTTTGACAAATTTTCCTTTACTTCCTTTATTCCTTTGTAACTGATCATAGTAAAAACTGATAGTCTACTGATTTAACAGTCCAGACAAAGAAACAAAAAAACAAAATAAAAGCATAACTTTTTTGCTGAAAAATGTGAGGTTTTTAATATTAGGTAATGACAATGGGTCTAATTTTATTAATGATCGTTGTTGTCTCTATGGATCTTACAAAGGATATTAAAAGTTAAAATAAAATATTTATTTTGCATTATTACTTCTCGAAATAATCTTTCATCCTCAATTTTCTTTTTCTCTTGTTCTTTTTTCGTCCGTTCTTCATCTTGTCTAAGTTTTTCCTTTTTTTCTTCCGCTGCCCAAAACTTGTCTCTTTCTGTTGAATTGATTTCTAAATTTGGTTGAATTCTCTTGTAAGTTGTACCCTTCAAAACAAAAAAATAAACAATTGTTATTGGATTCAAACAATGATAAAATTATATTATTCATTAAATTACAATTTTCTCAAGAGGCTGAGATTGATCCAGTCTTTCTTTGAATGAATACACGGATGCCGACGACTTGGCAACTTTGGACAAAATAATGTCCGTATCTACTTCGTCATCATTACGAGCATTTATTGTGACGTGTGCTCCTTTTAAAACATTTGACACATCGCGGATATGATTGGCACAAGTTCCTTTCCTGATGATGGGTGCTCCTTCTCCTTGCTAAAATTAATAAAAAAAAAAAAATGTTTAATTTTACAAATCTGGGAACACATTTAGTTGCTGGTACATGCAAATTTTTCATTTTTTTTTTTTTTCATGCAACACCACATTAGGTATGTAACAGGAAAAAAAAATTAATGTATTTTGTAAGGAAAACCATATTTAATAATTATTATTTTATGGGGTAACATTAAAAATATAGTAACAAGTGCAAAAAAAAAAACAGTTTAGAGAAAAAAAATTCGAACTTGGGACCTCCAATTTGATACCAAGTACGCATCATTAATAGACTATATTAACCCTTAAGCAGGCATGTGGGGTTTAATTGACCTCATTAATAATAAAATATTAATAACAAAAAATATAATAACCTAATGTTCTGTAGTTTTATTTTTTTATTATTAAATTTGTATCTATTTTTAATATCATATGGTAACCCGTTAATAAAACTATAATATCTAGTTAATATTTTCTTAAAATTTTAAAAAAAATTAACGTACTATAAAATATTTTAATCATTTTTTTAAATGGGGTACGATAGACTTCCACATGGCTATAAACGTTAAAAAAAGGCAGATGCATGCTCAAAGGTTAAATGATAAGTGAATATTCAAAATTGGATTATTTAACATAACATAATATCCAAACTTCAAACTAAGTCAGTCCGCCCAACTTTGACTTCACCAGGCATTGTTTTTGACTTGGCAATATGCATTATATTAAAAAAAAATTAAAAATTAGTATGGGCCAGTAACTAAATTTATATCTAAATCAGTAATACATATACGGTAGACATAATCTAACCCAATTTATTAAGACACATTTGTAAAGGCTAGTCTTTGGGTCCAGCACTCTGCAAAAAGCATACATTATTTTAGAGCTGTTCAGGTCTTCTTTCATTTCTTCGATTCCGCCTTCTGAAAAATCAAGGGAAAAAATATTACAAAAGCCATTGTCTTTGTCACCTTGAACTACATTTTATTTAATGAGGCTTAATTACCCATAATCATGTAAGAAAATAATTACTAAGCAGATTTATATAATTTTGAATGGCAAAAAATATTGTATTTTAAATCGCGTACCTACCTCCTTGGCTGATTACTTTCAGTACATTAGTTGGCCCCTCGTACCCAAATAAGGCCCTAGAAAAATAAACATTGCGTCATCAGAGTCCGATTGAAATCCTTCTGCCCGACGTCGTAAAATCGTTTTTCAAATATTACTTACCAGTTGGTCGGCGTCTTGTCGTCTACCACATCTTTCCATGTGTCCAAGATTTCTAGTTTGTTTTTGGTCACATCCAACTGAGACATGTTCGATTAACGGTTAGAGGTAAAACAGACCCAAAGTGATCAAATTCATGAACCCTCGGAGCAACGTGTTGCTTTTGTCACTAATCGCTGTCACCGTCTAAACGTCAAGTGTTTGTTTGGAGCGGCGATCCGCCTCTCGGGTAATCACTGTTTTGTTATCGCGTTTATCAGCTGTTACTGTTCTAAGACTGTGGCTCCACCCTTTGACATAATATAAACACAGTAGCGGACCAAAGGAAATTCAATATTAGAGGATGTTGCAAATAAAAATTGTAAAATTATCTTCTCTTCTCTACTCTACTCGACTATAGGAACAGGTATTTAAAAGCTGGATCATAAAAAAAGCCAATTTCTAATCAATATATCAAGCTTTTCCTCGTAACTTGACTGAAACCTATGCATTTCGATATTAAATTACTCGTATTTTTCAAATATTTGTATGCCAATAAAGGGAATAAAACCCCTAACATCTTTCTATGCATACGCTACTGTACAAATTGGGCCTCTACCTGGACCTAATTGTTGCCCCCCTCTTTATATCGACCAAATCGAACTGGACCGATTTTAAGTTAAAAATCTTTATATGTAAGTATTTGTAAGGTTATGGTTAATGAGGTACCGAAACTTGTAAGTCAAATCCCTTCCCTTTAGTGAAGTTTCAAAAATTGGAGCTAAGTGTGTATTTATTAGTACTACTAAAATATAGGCAAATCTAGAAAAAAAAGACGGACATATTTCGCATGTAGGTGGGCCACTGTTGTAGATAAGAATTTGGGAAGGTAGTAGAGGGGAGATTTAGTGTATATTTGTATGCAACAATAAACCATTGCTAGCGAAAAAACGATTCTGAACAGAGTTCAGTTGATAGTGTTGCTTTATCAACAATATAAATATATGTCAAATTATGATAAAATAATTACATAGGCATTATATTATATTTTCTTTAATAATATTTGTTTAATATTGTACCTATTTTCCCGTTTTCCCATTTATTAGGAAATCTTTTGAGGAAATTAAAAAATATGCCACCTTAAAGTATCTCTCCAGTCGGATTTCCTATTAGAAAAGCAGTCTAGTTCCAATCCAGGGAAAATCGAAAAGGAGCTATGCTTCAAAATGAATAAATTACTTTATCATATCAGTCTTTAAAAAATTAATCATTTCGATATTTTCTAAAAATTAACAAATTAACATGAACGCACTTTGGCGGCCATTCTAAATTATACAGCTGCTTCTGGGGTTGCTCGATTAGCTGAATATTTTGTTTTTTTTTTTTTTTGATTATAATTCAAGAATATTTTAAAATTAAATGATTAAATAATATTTTTCACAACACAAACTCAAAAATAGATGGATTCTAAAAATAAATAATTTTTCCTCGAAATTATGTTGTTGATGATGTTGATCGGCGATAAGAATAATAATAGGTACCTATACCATTGTTATTAATATAATAAAATAATATGTTATTGAAAATATTTTTATCATGCAATCGAAATTAGTTATAGTTATGATTTTATTTTCGATTATTTCTCTTTTATTTGAACGGCATTTATTTTTGGGAATAAAAACACAGAAAAACAAATAATTGTCCCTTTGCACAATACATCTAATACATTTGCTAATAGTTTCATAATTACGTACAATCAGAAGTAATAAAGTTAATAACAGAAACGTTATATAGGTATTTCTATAAAAATTATTTTGCAATATTATTTAAAAAAAAACCAATTTTATGAGTTTAAAGAAAACCGACTCTAAATTATTATTAAAAATATCATCAATTTAAGCAATTGTCTAAACTAGTGGTTCTCTAAGTGTGCGCCATGGTGTCTGTACAGGGGCGCAGCTTTACCATTTTTAATATTTACTGATCTAAAAATAAATTTAAAACTCAAATAACAGCGGAAACGGTGGGGCAGGTACCCGTTTTTTTATTTTTCTCGAACGACTTCAAATTATTCACATTGTACCTTGGAAGATGTGGATACCCAGTAGGTAGTACTTAATTAGAAAAAAAAAAATATCCAGAGTTCCAATACTTTTTCTCTAAAATTAAAAAAATAACTGCAGTTAGGTTGAGAACAATATTGTTACACTTCGGTTATATTTACATTTGGTTATAAAATGGAATAAACATCGCAACTAATACTATTCCGATCAGAATAATTTCTTATAGGTGCCTACTTATGTTTTGTTTGTTAAATATTAATTAAAGTTAGCTAACAACTCATTACTTATAATAGCCTTGTAATTGGCATTTTTCTCAATTGTCTAGATTGTTTACTGTTATTACTCCTATTTGCTATCAAATTGAATTTGTGTCCTGTTGATGAGGAGGTGCGAAATATTTTCTGTACATTTACATTCACGAATACATCATAAATTTCAACTTCCCTACTTAATCTTAAACTTTCGAATTCATCAATTAGTATTTTTCCGTTATGAAATATACTACAAAAGATAATCAAGCACAACTCAAGTTTCTACTCGAAAATATATGTTTCAATCATTATTTACAAATTTTAAAAATCAGATTTTGAATAACTATATTAGAAATTAAAAAAATAAAAAATAAAAATAAATAAAAAGCGTATATGTTTGATGAATCACTGTGTATTACTATGCTACCTATTAACAATAGGTACCTAATAGTATTAGGTATGTTTAATTTAGAGCTAATCGATTAGGTAGTCAATTTTTTTTTTGTGGGTAGGTACCTATTCGTAAACTGTCGTTCGACTTATGAACTCGACGCGACCAACCACGTCACAAAACTCTTTACTTTAATAATATGTAGGTAAATATCATATTGATTCGGTAATAGTATTATGCAATGTTTATTAGGCTACACTCGTATTCGAGCGATACGTAGGGACGGTCAAACGAGGAGGGGGATATATCCTCTCCATTTTTCATATGTATTATCGTTAGTGTTATTCTTATTTTACAACCCCGTATATAAATCCGCAAGTGTCTGGATGTTATGTTAAACAATTAATAAAATACGATGTTAGTACCTACTAACGTGCGCACTGTGAAATTTAAAATCGATTTCATTTCTCTAGAAACAAATGACAAAAAAAATAGAAAGTCGCGCATGACTCCAATTGGCGGTTACACGTTCATCTTCACCATTTATTTTTTTCCAATTGTATACAGCTTAACAAGTATTAAAAATCGCAGTGCGCGAGCTACAAACAAATGAAATCCTGGAAAATTATCATAGAGTTGACGAGAATATTGGTCAATCACTCGGCCTTGTAAATGCAATTAGCGATATTTTTTTCGTAGCAAACATAGAGCTATAGTCGTTTCCGATGAAACAATTTTTTTATTTTCCATTATGGCAACATGGTGTCACATTAGAAATCATAACAGCTTCGACAATATTCTACTTTTCTGTAATGTCTTGAGATAAATTTGAGCCATATTATATTAAAGACAAAAAAGTCAATTTAAAAGATATATATATATATATATATATTATCATACTTTTTTTTAGTATTATTATTTTAAATTGACTAAATATTTTTTTGTCATGTTGACAGAATCAAAATAGTCAAACTTTGAATTCATCTTATTGTAGTTGTTCAAATCGAACATGATAATATTTTATTACACCTCAGGTTATGATACACGTGCACAAATACAAGTTCATATAACAATAATAATAATAATAATAATATATGTCGGCGTGTGAATAATAATAAATATTTTAATAATAATCTAATTCGAGTCAATAATACTTATATTATTATTATTATTATCAATAAATAGGTACAGAAAATAAAATTCACTGCCGTAAAAATAATTTTAGCTTTGTAAAAATATTAAAAAGAAAAAACAATATATAGCCGTCAAAAACGGACGACACGTGGCTTCATTTTATCAACCATCCAAGATTACCGTACAACTGTACAAATATTTTTACGTGTATTAAATTTAATTTGATTTTCAACAAATTTATATTCATCCATCAATGGTGTTGGGCGAAGGCCAAACAGGAAATAAAACGACAGAAAATACAATTTTTTCTTCGATTCTTCATCAGAATTGGCCTTCACTCTTTGCGAGTTGGTTTTTAACATTATACATTTAACTATTATCATAAAAACATTGGTATGTACACAAAAATAAATAAATATATAAATGATGATCGTATTATCTAAGCATCATTGGTACAATTTTTCATTTTGATAATTAAATTGATAAATTGGGCTCGCCACTAAAAATAACTAATATTTCTTATAGAAAAAGTTATACAGAAGTAATTTACTCTAAAAAAAAAAAAAATAATAATTGTTTGTTAATTTCTAATAATTATTAAGTATATATATATAAAAAAATAAGGTAAATTTTTTTCCTCATTAGAGAACTGTAAAATTAGTACAAATTGAATTTTGGGAAGGGGAATTAAAAAAAAAGTTTATAAAACGAGCCGAGTAGTATCATCCAAAAAACGGGATTCTGAGGACCTTATTTATTTTTGTACAACATTGAGTAAAACAAGATACTAGATGGATATCATTCTTCTTTGTAAAGCCTCAACGTTGGGTGTATTTTCTAATACATTTTGTTAATCCGCTATCAGAATCCCATCTTGTCAAGACACTAAAATATTATAATTAAGATATGTTAGTCATCATTAGAATATATTTTATAAATGGAGAATGATAATCATACTTTAAAGACGACGAAAGCGGTAGTCAGAGCAAAGGCTACAATTTCTCCTGGAACAAATACAAGTTATTGGTGGCTGCAACTGCAACAATATTTTCATTTGGATGCCATGCGGTATGCAGTATTTTCTTATTGAAGTCTAAACAATCAACGCTGATCTCGTCTTTTTTACGTTTATTACCGATACAAACCTATTATAAATTAAAATTATTTATCATAATAATCATACAAAATAGTATTTTTATTAAATATTTACTTTTCGAGGTTTTAATATGGTTTTAGGCTTAGCTATTTCTTTTGAAGCTTCTAATGTGACATCACGTTTAGCTGCTCGGTCAAACATCCGGAAGAAATTATTGTAAGCACCAGTCATAATGTACTGATCCGTACCTGACCAGCAACATTCAAACTTGTCAAAAATACAATCATTTTCGTACAATGAGCATAGTTTTGGTCGCAAGTACT